CTGAGGGTGCTGGCGCTGAGCCTGCCGTTGGCGGTCCGACTGACAGTGCTCCTGGTGCTGCTGCTAGAGGTTCTGGAGCTTCTGGTGGTGCTGCTGGAGGTGCTGCTGGAGTGGGTGCTCCTGCCGGGGCTGCTGGTGCTGTTCCTGCTGTTTCTAGTGTCGCCGCGCGGCCCCGACCGTACTTCGTTCCGCTCCTGCAGCAGGTTCTTGGTCTTCCACCTCCTCCTCCTCCTCCCTTAGAGGGTCCGCAGCCTGTCCGGTCACAGCCACAGCTACAGCCTGCCTCCCCTTTGCCTGCTCCTTCTCCCTACACTGGTCCGACTGGAGGTCTTACTGAGCGTCGTGAGCCTGCGTCTCGTCCTGTGTCGCCTGTTCGTACTGAGCGCGCTAGTGGTCGCGGGTCGCGTCAGCGTCCTCCTCCTGTCCGTGGCACGCACCGGATGTCACTGCGTCCGTCCACTGCTCCTCTGCGTGCCCCTTTGCCTTCTCCTCCTACTTCCTCTCTTCCTGCTCTTGCCGACCCGGAGTCGGACTCTCTTCGTGCTGCCAATCCTACTGTCACGCGTCTCCTTGCTACTGCTGTCACTGACCCTTCCTTCGAGTCGTCTGCTGCGTCTGCCCTTGTCACTGAGCTTGTCGACTTTGCTGCGCGCTATCGTCTAGACTACGCTGCTCGTCTTGTCACTGAGTCTGAGTCCGCCTGTCCTCCGTCCGTCGGGGGTGAGTGTGCCCTTGGCACGGACGTCCTTGAGGACAGGCAGGAGGAGTTCCAGTGTCTGGCCGCCGCTTCACCTCGTCTCGCGTCTGTACTGCTAGCCCCTGAGGGAGACCCGGATGCACCAGACATCCCGACTCCGCGCTCTTACGCGGAGGCGATAGAGGGTCCCTACTCCTCTCAGTGGCAGGCAGCTATGGATGCAGAGATGGCTTCCTGGAAGTCCACAGGCACCTACGTTGACGCTGTTCCCCCTCTTGGGGCGAACATCGTCAGTGGCATGTGGATTTTCAGGGTGAAGCGGCCGCCGGGTTCTCCGCCTGTCTTCAAGGCGCGTTACGTGGCTCGTGGCTTCAGTAAGCGGCAGGGGGTTGACTACTTTCAGACCTTCTCCCCCACCCCGAAGATGACCACTCTTCGGGTTCTGCTGCACGTTGCTGCTCACCGTGACTACGAGCTGCACTCTCTCGACTTCAGCACAGCTTTCTTGCAGGGCAGCCTGCACGAGGAGATCTGGCTGCGTCGCCCACCTGGCTTCACTGGGTCTTTCCCTCCTGGTACCCAGTGGAGTCTCCGGCGTCCAGTCTACGGTCTCCGCCAGGCGCCACGTGAGTGGCACGACACACTGAGGACTACGCTCGCGGCACTTGGGTTTGCTCCTTCTACTGCCGACCCGTCGCTGTTTCTGCGCACCGACACCTCTCTGCCGCCGTTCTACATCCTCGTGTACGTCGACGACTTGGTCTTTGCCACAGCTGACACTGCTGGACTCGCCTACGTGAAGTCCGAGCTGCAGAAGAGACACACGTGCACTGACCTGGGTGAACTGCGCAGCTACCTTGGCTTGCAGATCACCCGGGACAGAGCACGCCGCACCATTACCCTGACTCAGTCACACATGGTGCAGCAGGTCCTTCAGCGCTTCGGCTTCACGTACTCCTCGCCTCAGGCCACTCCTCTGCCTACTCGCCACTCGCTCTCAGCTCTGCCTTCGGATGAGTCCGTAGAGTCGAGTGGCCCGTTTGCAGAGCTTGTTGGCTGCCTCATGTACCTGATGACCTGCACACGACCTGACCTCGCATACCCTCTTAGCATTCTCGCACGCTTTGTTGCTCCTGGGAGACACCGACCAGAGCACATGGCTGCAGCGAAGAGGGTGTTGCGCTACTTGTGCAGTACGTCGGGCATGGGGCTAGTGCTTGGAGGGCGGAGTCCAGTGGTCCTCACTGGGCACGCAGACGCTTCTTGGGCTGACGACCAGGCTACGCAGCGGTCGTCACAGGGTTACACCTTCAGCCTTGGTTCCGGCTCTGTCTCGTGGCGGGCTACCCGCTCGTCTTCTGTTCTCGGCTCCAGTTGTGAGGCTGAGATCTACGCTGGGGCTATGGCTGCACAGGAGTTACGCTGGCTCACCTACCTGCTGACCGACCTTGGAGAGCAGCCTCGTTCTCCTCCAGTCCTGTACGTAGACAACAAGGCCATGCTGGCCTTGTGTCGAGAGCAGCGACTGGAGCACAGAACGAAGCACATTGCTCTCCGCTACTTTCTTGCTCGTGAGCTACAGCAGCGTGGACAGTTGCGACTTGCGTACGTGGCCTCTGAGGCCAACACTGCTGATGTCTTCACCAAGGCACTTGCGCCTTGTGATCATCAGCGTTGTTGCACGCAGTTGGGTCTTGTGCCTGTCTTGCCTCACTTGCTCTCCTCTTGACCTTGCTTGTACCTTCGCCTATATATACTCTTGCTCTTGCTTGCTTGACTCTTGTATATCTCTATATATGATCTTGCATGTGAACTGGCCTTCTGGCCTTTGAACTTGTGCTCGGAATGCGTGGTGACTTTGTGATCCACCCTGAGCTTTGCTTTGCTTTGCTTGACTGGTCTTGTGACCCCTTGTTCTCCCCCACTTTGCCTATGGGGGTGTGTCAGAACATATAGCTTACTTGTTTCTGTAGGCTATAGTGGGGTATCCCATAGGGGGTACAACACAATTAGGGTTTCCTATTTGTATTCACTTCACTTCATAGTCATTCATTCTCGTTCTTTGATTTCACAACCTCCCAGTGGCAGTCGCAGTTTGCGTGCTGTAGCAGTGTTAATGAGGCTGTGGCTGGCTCCCCCATCTACGAAGATTTTAACTAAGTCCGTCCCAATTTTCCCACTGAGCAGTATAGGGCTATCTACCGTGGTACCCTCCTTATTCGGCCGGGTGTGGTCGATTGCGTGAACCGGCACAATCACTCGGTGAGGGTCGGTTGGGTCGGGCGAGCGGCGTGACCTGTCAGTAGAGGGCCCGTCTGCTACTGACTTCCAGCGTTTCCCTGCTGCTTGGTCTGTGTCTGCTGCTCAGCTTCCCCCTTTCCCTTAGCGTTTTCCGGGCATTCGCTCTTGCGATGTCCCGGCCGATTGCACGCAAAGCAGCGCCCTTTGAACGGTGCGGCAGCGGCATTTGCGGCGACGGCGCGTATCGTGGCGCTCTCGTTCGTCCCACGAGGCCGATGTCCCCAGGTGTTGTTTCCGTAGGACCCCGGTCTCGGTCGGCGAAAGAAGTCGAGCTTCTCCGCCATAGCGAGAATTTCCTGAAACTCAGTGACGCCGCGAAGCTGGATTTCCTGAGCGATGTCCTGCTTCAGGCCGCCGATGTAGCGGTCGATGCGTTCGCTCTCATGCATGTAGCCCACCTGCTCGCATAGCGCCAGAAATCCGCTCGTGTAATCCTGGACGGAACCGAGTTGGCGCCAAGTGCGGAGCTTCTGTCGCGCCGAGATCGAGGCCGCGATTGGCTCAAATCGAGCGCGCAGACCTGCGCACCACGCGTCCCACGTGCGATACTGGGGCACCTCCACGAAATACGACGGCGCCCAGGGTCCGGTTTGTCCTTCCCGTGTCGGTAGTGTCGCGTAGTCGGTCGGCTTCGTGACGATGACGCGCCACCAGTCCATGGCGGGTCCTCGCAGCAGCGACACGGCGTATCGAATCTTCGCCGAGTCCTCCGAGACGTAGTTGGCGTCGAAGAAAACATTCATTGTGAATAACCACGCCTGAACGGTAGGACCACCCCGTTGACTCGGGTCAAAGCATGGCGGGCGCTGCGGCTTCAGCGGCATCGGTGACGGCAGTCCCGAATCGTGGGTTGGTGCCGAAATCGTGACGCGAGGCTGACTTGGGGCCGCAGGCGTCGCTCTGGGGTGTGTCGTGCCGTGGTCGTCGTCTCCGTCGGGGCGGACGACACCATCACTGGCCGCGCTCGCGGGTTGCCCCACACTCCCGTGTTGTGATGTTGAGGGTGCAGGTTGAATCGGAGTGCCAGGTGCTTGGGATTGTGCTCTCATGAGGTCATTTTGCAGTGATGAGCGTTCTGCCGTCAATGCCGCGATTTCCTCGGAACTTTCGTGCAGTTGTCGCAGCAGATCGTTCAAACGCTCCTGCGTGAGAGTGGTGACGTCGATGTTTTCGGCCATGACGAAGGGCGTCGGCTCGTCTTAGTCTAGGCGCAGTCGTGGCTGCACGCGTTTACGAGAGAACGCGAGGACAGCGGCTCCTAGGGGCTAAGGTGCGTGAGTCCCTTCGAGTGAAAAATCAAAAGTTGATTTCCTGGTGTGCGGAGATGCGCGGTCCGAAAGAAAGGGGCTCTGATAACCAAGTGTTACGGGTGCAATGAATCGAGGTAGCGAGAATTGCACTAAGGTGTCAAACGAGTACAAAATGTGAGCGAAGGCATGAGCGAACATTTATACGCGAACATGCAAAACGGTAACGCGGTGCGTGCGAGCTTGCTAGTGCTACGCTGGAGTGAGGCTCGGGCTAGTCCCGAAGCGTAGGCCGATACGGCCATGCCAGCAGTGCGAGGTTTGGTAAAACAGTGCGCGCGAGGTCGGCGAAGTTCCGTTAGCAGTAACGGGCGAACAATCGGCTGTTGCTGTACGCGATGTAGTCGGCTCCGTAAGGAATGCCGAGAAAATTCCTTACAGACATCAGAATTTGACCCACATCGAAAGTTCATGTGTACACTAAAAAATACAACTACATATCAGTGGTCACCTTTAGGGTTTCAAGCTTGTTTTGCCTCTGGTCTGGTCTATCCGTGTTGTAATATTGCATGCACTACAGGCCAGGATGGAGGCAATTTACGTACATCAACTCGGCAGTACACTTCATTACCCTGCTTTTGACAGTCATTGGACAATGGTCAAACGATCCACCACCAAGCTGTCACTCTGGTCAGACCATGAGGCGATGATTGAGCATGCAGGTACCGAGTAAAACGGAGTCTGCATGGGAGCCTTCAATGAAGCATCAACCGCATTCTGGCAGACCGAACTGATGGGAGGTAGTCAATCCACCACCACTCTGTCACCCTACCCACATCGATCAGCAATGGCTCTTTCAGCTTTGGCAGCCAGCGCAGTGACCCGGGCAGAGAGTTCAGCTCCGGCAAATAGCACAGCTCCAGCGTTTCAAGTTCTTTTAGCTGCCCGAGTGACTCGGGCAGCACAGATAACTTATCCAAGTATTGGAGCTTCAGGATTCTGAGGTTTTCCAGCTGTCCGAGGGATTCTGGCAGGTTGGAGAGGCCGTGCATGTGGGTGAGGGTGAGGGAAGAAAGGGCAGAGAGCGTGGAGAAGGAATCAGGGAGCGAGGGGATTCGCGAGCATCTACAGAGTGACAGGCTGGTGAGGGACGCCAGGCCCCATGACTGCTGTGCGGTGGGCTGCTCTGTGCTGTGCTGTGCCCGTGCCCGTGCCCGTGCCTGTGCCTGTACCTGTGCCTGTGCCTGTGCCTGTGCCTGTGCCTGTGCCTGTGCCTGTGCCTGTGCCTGTGCCTGTACCTGCGACTGTGGGTCACTGGACGTGTTGGCCTTACTGCAAACACTGGCTGTAGGAGCGACAGTGACAGTAGCAGGAGCAGGGTCAAGAATATAGGAAGGCGCAGGGTCAGGAGCAGGGGCAGCAGCAAGAGAAAGAGCAGAAGCAAGGGAGGAGGTCACACCCAATGGGGGAGCAAGCAATGGCTCTAGGGACTCGAGGCGAGAGCAGGAGGTGATTTCAAGCTCCTCCAGGCGCGTCAGCATGGCCAGCTGGGCAGGCAGCTGCCTCAGTCCACTGCAGTCGCGCAGGTAAAGCCCCTCCAGGCTGTGTCTCACACTCCCCGTGCACAGTTCTTCGGGCAGCTGCAGCAGACCCAGCTGGCTGATTTCCAGCAATCTCAGTTGCTGTAGATCTCCCACGCTCTCAGGCAGATACTGAAGATTGGGCAGATTGCAAAGCTTTAGCGTTTCAAGCAGTACAAGGGCTCCGAGGTTTTCAGGAAGGGAGGCGATTACAGGGGATGAGAGGATGGAGAGGGAGGAGAGGGGGAGGGAGCAGATGGCGTCTGGCAGGCTCTGGATGGACTTGCAGCTGAGAGACAGCGACTTCAGTCGCACCATTGCCCCCACCACATGCTCCGGCACGCGCCTCACGCGCTTGGACTGTAGCGAGAAGGAACGAAGGCCGGTGAGCTGCTGAAAGGATTCCGGAATCAACTTTAACTTATCCATCTCGATTTTTAGGGTTTGCAAATGCGGTAAGTCACCAATGGAGGTGGGGAGGTGAGAGAGGGAGGGGTTGGAAAAGGTCAAGCTTCGGAGGTTCGTGAGGCTGCTGACGGAATCCGTGAGACCTCGGAACGGTGACCCGGTTTTAACGCAGATTTCCTGTAGCTGCTGAAGCGCGCCGATGCTTTCAGGCGGCGAAATTAGATGCTCAAATCGATCCACGCCGTAATACTCGTAGCAGCGGCAGAGATGGAGGGTTCTGAGGTCCGAGAGGAGCGTGACGGCGGGCGGGAGGTGCGGGAGGGAGTGGAGGGTGAGCAGGCGCAGGTCGCGAAGCTTGCGACAGCCATGGAAGAGAAACGAGAGGCCGTTGCACGTGACATGCATGCGAAACTGGTAGTGTGCGGTCAGATGTGTCAAATGCGGACACGTGGCGCCCAGGCATTGGAAGAGAGCATCGCCGTTCGGATCTTGAACGCGACATTCCTGAAGCTCTAGGCGCGTGAGCGAGGAAAAGGTGCGAATCGTGTCTAAGAGAACGGGAAATCGGATCTTGGATTTGATAACGAGGTGCGCGAGCGAGAACAGTGCTGCGGCGTACCATCGCTTGGAGACAAGCGCGTAATGGAAGGAGTCCCGCGTCAGCGAGCGCAGCACGAGCGAGAGAAGGTAATCATCGGATAGAACCTTGTCAATAGTCGACAGAGGAGGGGAAGGGGCCAAGGCGGGGAAGAAGAAGGTCGGCAGAAACGACATGGTATCATTCGTAATCTTGCTACAATGAAATGATATTCTCGAGTGAAAAAGTGCAGATTACGACAGGTTTCATGGGTTTCTATTGACGCAGAAGGCAGCATCATAGTGGCCGCCAAGAAAGCATGAAAGTGCAGCAAAAGGCCGCCAGGTTGGAAGGGAGGGACGGAGTGACGGAGGGTTTGACCAGGACAGAGAAGGGAAGACTGGGAAGAAGTTGCGGGCGCAGGGTTGACGGGGCTAGTGCCGTGTGCCGTGTTGTTACATGCACTTGTCGCCATCAAGCATACTCTTAAAAGAGAGTGCGCGGAATAAAGAATAACGAGGCTGTGACTCAATGAACGCACAATACAATGAAGGCACGCGCTAATATAGTGACTACCCTAGCAAGGAGGGAACTTCGGGAAAACGAGGTTGGGTGCAGGTTATTGGAAACAAGTGTTGGAATAACCGAAAGGTTATTATAAGCATTCCAGAAGGCTCTCCACTCTCGCGTCACTTCATAACGAAGTACGGTATTCCTGTACTCCTATCTTATAATCATGTTGTTCTTTCAAACCTTTATCAACAAGGTCATTACGGAGACTACACAATTCTCTCATATACTCAGCAGCTTTATCCTATCCTCATCATCATTGCTCCCGAACAACGCATCACCGCACCTGCTGTGGACATGAAAGTTGGGCAGTACAAAAATGTTACGAGTGTTCGGCTACATGGTACAGTACCGACCCCCAGCTGCACGAGCCGGACGATTATCCCAACGCGCATAGTGGGGACTACACCTAGGCATTGAAAAACACTACAATGCGTGGAAGATTTTTTACGTCCACACGAAGGACACAGTGGCAGCACGTGATGTGTTCTTGTACGAATGTCTCACCCTTCAGACGTATCTGGACAACCTGGAAGCAGAAAGAGATGTCACGGGCGGATTTCGTGCGGGCCGAGCCTTCGCTTCGACATCAGATGAAGCTGACTGGGATGAGCAAAACATGAACGGAGCTTCGGAGGAAGCCGGACCTCTTCCCTATTGCTTGGTGGACATCCCCATCGACGACAACAACCCCCGCGAAAGTATCAACGCCGAAGTCTTCTACGACTTTGCCGACAACGGTTACGTTACACCCCAGCCAGTCGACACTAACGTTTTAGAACTCATAGGCCCAAATTTCTTACCTGATCCAGAAGCCGAAGACGAAGCATTCTATCCCGAGGACGCAACTCTCCCAAGTTACACAAAGAGTGGGCTGCAGATACTGGGACTTGTCACCGCCGTCCACGGAGCACCACCACCTAAGGAGCCTGCCACAGTTCAGCAGGCTCTGGGGGGGGAGCACAGGGAAAAATGGCGCGAAGCCATGGACAGAGAGTTAAAGGTGCTGAAAGAACGCAATACCTAGAAAGTCGTACCTATCAGAATGGCACGCAACAAAACCATTCTCACGGGAAAATGGGTCTTCCGCGTGAAGACAAAAGCCGACGGAACTATTGACAAGTTCAAAGCACGATGGATCGTGCGTGGCTTCGACTAAGAGCACGGACGAGACTTCATCGAGACTTTCGTGCCAGTCATTCGGCACACATCACTTCGAATCCTCCTCGCGATAGCCGCCATGAAGCGGAAGAAGCTCCGACAAATCGACGTTGCCAATGCTTTTCTCTACGCTCCCGTCGACGCTGAGATCTTCGTCGAGCAACCACACGGCTCTAACGCAGACCCCAACCAAGTCTGTCAATTGCTAAAGTCCTTATACGACATTAAGCAAGCTCCGAGGCTGTGGCAGCAGTTCTACACGCTTGGCTAATTTGCATCGGATTCCGCCAATTGCCACACAACCAAGGAATGTACTGACTAACGAAGGGCGCCGACTATCAAACTATATGTGCTGCATGTTGTGTAGGCTATAGTGGGATAGCCCATATGGGGTATAACCCAATTAGGGTTTACTACTTGTACTCCTGTATGCTGCTAGTTCATACATTCCTCGTTCATTCTCCTGCCTGGTGAGCACAGTCGCACTGTCACTGCGTGCTCTTCCCCTACTGCTTGCACTGCTTCGCTGTCGTCGTCATGGCTACCCCTAGTGTCCTAGCTTTTGACGCTGAGGGTCGCGCCACTGATTTTGAGGTCTGGTTAGACGACCTGCAGCTGTTCTTACAGTGCGACAGGGCTGACGACCTTTCTCTCTTTGACCTCACCTCTGGCGCCTCTCCTGCTCCTGCTGCTGATGCTGATCCCACTGTCCGCTCTCAGTGGGCCACTCGCGATGCTGCTGCACGTCTTGCTGTGCGTCGCCACCTCCCTACCTCTGAGCGTGCGCACTTTAGTCAGTACAAGAGTGCTCAGACCTTGTACGACGCTGTAGTTGCGCGCTACTCCTCCCCTGCCACTGCTGCACTGAGCCGCCTCATGCTTCCCTACCTCTTTCCTGACCTCTCTACCTTTCCCACTGTCGCTGATCTCATTACGCACCTCCGCGCTAGTGACACTCGCTACCGCGCCGCCCTTCCTGCTGAGTTCTGCGCTAAGAACCCACCCCCCATGTACATCGCTCTCTACTACGTAGTCGCGCGCCTCCCTGACTCCCTTCGCGTCGTCAGGGACCACTTTCTCGCAGTCTGTCCCACCACCCTCACCGTCGACCTCCTCGAGAAGGCCCTCCTCGCAGTGGAGAAGAGCATAGTCGCTGTAGGTGCTTCTCGTGGTGACCCTCGCACCCCCATCTTTGAGGGGTGCTCTCCTTCCCCCTTGCTGCCCTCTGTTGCCTCTACTGCTGCTGCCGACCTGCTTGGTCTTGAGTCGGTCGGCGCGGCGTCTGCCCCTAGTGGGAGACGTCGCTCCAGCAAGGGCAAGGGGGACAAGGGCGCGGGTGGAGCTGGAGGGGGCGGTGGCGGTGGCGGCGGTGGCGGCGGAGGGAGTGGGGGTGGCGGCGGGACTAGTGGCGGGGGCGGTGGTGGTGGTGGTGGCAGCAGCGGCGGAGACGGTGGTAGTGGTGCCAGCGGTGGTGGTGGAGGCAGCGGCGGAGGTGGAGGCGGCGGAGGTGGAGGCGGTGGAGGCGGCAGCGGAGGAGGCAGTGGTGGTGGAGGAGGTGGAGCTGGTCGGGGTGGTACCCAGCAGCGTAGCGGCGGTGGTGGTGGCCAGCGCTCGCAGCGGCAGCAGCAGCAGCGCTCGCGGGACATCCCTTCGCCTCAGCAGCTTCGTGAGTGGTACGCTGGGCATCAGAGGGGTGGGGGTACTGGTCCCTGCACCTACGTTCTTCGTTCCGGCGACCGCGCGGGTGAGCAGTGTGGGGGTGCCCACGCTGCCCAGCGCTGCTTTGGCCGCCTGACGGACGCTTGGCGTCAGCAGTTCCCTGGGGCTACTGAGATCCCTCGCTGGGATGAGCTTCTTAGGGCTGGTGTAGCGATCTTTGATCTTGATTTTGATGCTATCCTTGCTGCTATGTATGCTGTGACTTATAGTGAGGAGAATGAGGGTTACTGGTGTTTCCAGCCCGACCCGGGCATTGGTACTGCTGCGCTAGGTGCTTGTGAGGCTGCTGCTCTAGGTGCCAGTGCGTCTGCGCTCTCAGGTACTGGTGAGACTGCGCTCTCAGGTACTGCGTCGTCCTCGTCCTCCCTCACTTTCACACTTGACTCCGGGGCTTCTCGCTCCTTCTTTCGAGACCGCACTACCCTTACGACGCTCGACCGGCCGGTTGCAGTCTCCCTTGCTGACCCCTTTGGGGGTCCTGTCCTGTCTCACTTCTCCACTGTCCTCCCGTGTCCGGCTGCCCCTTCGGGCACCCTGTCTGGTCTGTACCTTCCCTCGTTCTCTACGAACTTGGTGAGTGGCGCGGACCTGCAGGATGTGGGGGTTCACCAGTTCACTCCTGCGAGTCAGCGGGTGACCCACTGCACGGAGGCACGCACAGGCCGACACCTGGCCAGGTTCTCGCGTCGGCCGGGGTCGAGTCTCTACACCCTAACCGTTGAGTCTCCTCCTGTCCCTGCGTCTGGTCAGGTGGCTGCGTCAGGTCAGGTGCTTGCTGCTGCGTCCCGGTCAGGTCCTGAGTCTGCCCCCTGTTCTTGTCGCCTCCTGTCTCACGAGACTCTCATGTGGCACCACCGTCTTGGCCACCCCTCCTTGCCCCGTCTTCGGAGCATGGCTTCCCGTGTCCTTGTCTCTGGTCTTCCCCAGTCTCTCCCTCCTCTCCCCTCCGGACCAGGACCTTCCTGTGTCCCCTGTGTCGAGGGTCGCCTCCGGG